TGTCTTGATCACCCCCTAACTGCTTCCCTGCTGGCCTGATAGCCCCTAATTGCCTCTGCCTTGGCCCCTGCCACCTAGCTTTGCCTGGAAGGATGTCCAGTCTAATTAGCATATTACCCCCCTTTTTTTGCATATTACCCTTTTATTTGCATAGATATATATTTTTTAAAATATATTTTATTGATTTTTTACAGAGAGGAAGGGAGAGATAGAGAGTTAGAAACATTGATGAGAGAGAGTCATTGATCAGCTGCCTCCTGCATGCCCCTCACCGGGGACGTGCCCGAAACTCAGGTACATGCCCTTGACTGGAATCGAACCCGGGATTCTTCAGTCCGCAGGCTGACGCTCTATCCACTAAGCCAAACCGGTTTCGGCTTGCATAGATATTTTTATTGATTTCAGAGAGGAAGGGAGTGGGAGAGAGAAACATCAATACTGAGAGAGATAGTTGATCAGCTGTCTCCTGCGTACCCCACACAAGGGATGGAGCCTGCAACTAGGGCATATGGCCTGACTGGGAATTAAACATGACCTCCTGGTTCATAGATCAACGCTCAGCCTCTAAGCCACGCCAGCTGGCCCATTTGTAGCTTTTATAATAAACAGTGAAGGAAAGTAAATTAACTTCCTGAGTTCTGTGAACTGTTTACAAGCAAGTTATGGAACCTGAGGAGGTGTGGTGGGAACCCTCGGTTTCTGTCTGGCTGATCAGAAGCAGGAGTGGCCAGAGATCGGCACGTGAAGCGGAGGCAGTCTGCGGCACTGAACCCTGACGCTGCGGCCCTTCGCTACCTCCAGTAAGTGCCAGAACTGAATTAAATTGTCGGACAACCAGCTGGTGTTGGAGAACTCGTTGGCATCAGAAAACACCCCCAGAAACTATACTTAGTGAGCACGTTCAGTCCTCTTACTTGGAAGAAGGAGATACAGGTTTGACATTTTGGCTATCTGATGAGTGAACTTCCTCAGATGCTTTGGCGTTTTAACCCCCGGAGGGACTAAGATGAAACCCTGGTTTAAGCCGAGGATGGCACTTGTACCTCCCCAGGAACCTCAGCACTTCAGCAGCTCCTACTGGGCCTCTGCGGGGCTGATTTGTGTTCCGACTCATCTCTGTCCTGTATTACCGAATTCTTCCTTTTCCCCACAAACCTTCCGTAGCTGAGGGGTTAGTCATCCTCCGTGTTGCCTACTCCAAGCACCTCCTGACGTCATCCCAGCTCCAAACCCCCTCCAACTTCTTCTTCTTCTTCTTCTTCCTCTTCTTCTTCTTCTTCTTCTTCTTCTTCTTCTTCTTCTTCTTCTTCTTCTTCTTCTTCTTTTAATATATTTTATTGATTTTTTTTTCAGAGAAGAAGAGAGAGGGATAGAGAGTTAGAAACATCGATGAGAGAGAGAATTATCGATCAGCTGCCTCTTGACACACACACACACACACACACACACACACCCCACTGGGGATGTGCCCGCAACCAAGGTACATGTTCTTGACCAGAATTGAACCGGAGACCTTTCAGTCGCAGGCCGATGCTCTATCCACTGGGCCAAACTGGTTTCAGCCCCTCCAACTTCTTGCCTAAGACCGGTCCATCTGTTCCTATACTTAGATCGCCCGCCCCCTTAGAGCCCAGGACTCTCCGGTGGTAAAGAGGACACAAGTTACACCAGGGCCTGAGGCTGGGAAGATCATCCATTCTCCACATATTTGCTGACTGCTGATATCATCAGAGCCCTATGGGATATGGAGATAATTTATAACAGTCACTGTCCTCGTACAGCTCACAGTCTATCGGGGGGAAAAAAGCAAAACTAGGCAAGTACAGGAAGTCTCCGTAAAAGCTGGGATAAAGGTGTCACAGACTCTCTAGGAGCCCAAAGGAAGGGCCCTTCCCCCGGATCACAGTGTGAAGGAAGGCCTCCAGGAGGAAGTTGAGATTGGAAATTTAAATAGAAATTCTTCAGGCAAGAATCTGGATGGGAGATGCGGTCTAGACAGAAAGAACATAATGCAAAGCCCAGAAGTGAGAGAGGGCACGGTGTGTGCGGGTTCATCAGGGTAAGACTTGTAATAGGTGAGAATGACCCAGAGACCAAGGCTAGTTCTGCTGAATCACTCAGGCCATCCCTGTTCCCACTGGGCAGGCCTATGAGTGAGTCAGCTAGCCTGGCTGATGTAGCTCAGTGGTTGAGTGTTGACCTATGAACCAGGAGGTCACGGTTCGATTCCCGGTCAGGGCACATGGCCATGTTGTGGGCTCTGTCCCCAGTAGAGGCTGTGCAGGGGGCAGCAGATCAATGATTGTCTCTCATCATTGATGTTTGTACCTCTCTCCCTTCCTCTATGAAATCAATAAAAATAAAAATAAATAAATAAAAAGAGACTGAGTTAGCCAGGCGTTGGAACAGGTACCACAGGCAGGAGAGAGCCAAAAACTTTGCAAGGGCCGGTCACAGCCCAGGTGGGGTCTATAAAGATTCAGTGAGACACTCTATGTCAAGTGCCTGGCTTAGAGAGACCCCCCCTCCCGAGAAATGGTAGCTGTTATTGTTGTTATTATTATTGAACTGCATTGCTAGCACAGAAGCAACTGGCAGACGCTCTCTCTGGAAGAGACCCTGAAGAGGACCTGGTAGAGAACTGTCACACCTCGGCTGATCCTTTGTGAGCTGATTTGTTATTCTTTTGTGGGAAACAAACTCTTTGGAGAATCTGATGAAAGCTGTGGACCCTGTTCCCAGGGAAAAAAAGCACATCTGCTCCTGCAAGGCTTTGCATATTATTTCAGGGACTTCACAGACTCCTGGGAGGCTGTCTAGTCACGGAGCCTGGCTGGACCCAGCTGTTACTCCCCCGAGCACGAGCACGGCTGAGAAAAGTTCCCCACTATTATCTCAGCTCGTTATACCAAGTGAAAACCTCAGCACGTGTTGTTGCAATTCTCTGAGTTTCCCGAGTACTTTAACATGCCGGGTGGCACAGCGAAGGAGTGAGTAGACGGCGGGTGACTAGTGAAGAGACCGTTTCGATAGTTCAGGGAGAACAGGGCTGGCTTGAGTCATGCAAGGCCCCCCTGTGCTTGTTTTCCTGCTCTGCTGTGTCATCATTCTTAATTCCTTCACAAGGAGCCTTGCATTGGCGTTTTGCACTGGACCCCACAAAGCATGCAGCCAGTCCCGGGAGTAGATAAGCATGCATTTGAGTGCTCACTATGTAAGCAGCTTACAAGTGGCAGTGCTGGGCCTGGAGCCCGGGCTGTTGGGGTCCAAACCATGGTCTTAATCTCTGCCATACTGCCTTCTGAGTCAAGAGGGCTGGAGAGGAAGGGCAAGAATCAGAAATGTTCTGCCAGGGCCTCTTGTTTTAATGACTTTTCCTCTCCAGATGTTCTCTCTGTGAGTGCAGAGGCTGGTGCACCCCCTTCTCTCCAGGGGAGAGCCTGGCACAGAGTAGGTGTTTCACAGATGCTGGCTGGAAGGCACAGTTCACAGGCCAAACGGAATAGAGAAGCCTGGAGGGGGGATGAGGGATTCCCATCTGAGTGATGCTAATCATCAAGAGACCACGAGAAGTCAGTGTGGCCCTGGCCACATGGACTGTCAGTCAGTTGGAGTGCCCTTCCATACTCCAAAAGGTCATGGGTTCGATGCCTGGTCAGGGGACATACCTAGGTTGCAGGTGGATTGGGGTGCACAAATAGGCAACTGATGGATGTTTCTCTCTCCCTCTAGCTCTAAAATTAAAAATGTAAATATATCCTCAGGTGAGGATTTTTTTGAATTTTTTCCCCTTATTGATTAAGGTACTATATTAGTGTCCTTATCTCCCTATCCCCCCCCCCACCCGTCCAATCATGCCCTCACCCCCTGTTGTCTGTGTCCATTGGTTATGCTTATACATACGCATACAAGTCCTTTGGATGATCTCTCTCCCTTACCCCCACTCTCTCCTACCTTTCCTCTGAGGTTTGAGCATTTGATCGATGCTTCTTGAGAATTTTTTTTTTTTTTTTTAACTTAGCTGTGGGGCAGGGATGGTTTAATGGATTTAGGATGTGTTTAAGAGTTGAGAGTTTTTCGCCGGGACAGGTTTGGCTGAGTGGATAGAGCGTCGGCCTGGGGACTGAAGGGTCCCCGGGTTCGATTCTGGTCAAGGGCATGTACCTTGGTTGCCGGCACATCCCCGGTGGGGAGTGTGCAAGAGGCAGCTGATTGATGATTCTCTCTCATCGATGTTTCTGACTCTCTGTCCCTCTCTCTTCCTCTCTGTAAAAAAATCAATAAAATATATTAAAAAAAAAAAAGAGTTGAAAGTTTTGGGGGGACGTCTTGGAGAAGGCAGTCTTCCAGGGCAAGCCCTTCCCGTCGCCCTTCCCCTCTGCAGCCTGGGCCAAGGGCTGGCCAGGCAGGCCTGCCCCTGGGAGCCTGAGTGGGAGGCTCGACCAGTGGGTTCCGGAACAGCAGGGTTCATTTCTGGATCCGTGTGTGTGTGTGTGTGTGTGTGTGTGTGTGTGTCTGTGTATGCAGTCAGGGCCCAATAAATGCCAGGAGAAGAAAAGAGGGAAGGGAATGTGACCAGGCATTCAGCAGATCTGGGAACTGGAGTGGAAAATGGAGGGACAAAGTTTGAACCCCAACCAAGACCCTACAGACAGGCTGGACAGAGAGGGGTGCCCAGCGCCCTCAGGAGGCCAGGCACAGGGCTCAGTGCTTTGTTCACACAAACACCTTTCCTCTTCATGGCAACACTGAAGCGACATCCTTAGTCCTACTTTGTTTAAGAAAACTGAGACCCGGAGAGGCGACGTGATGTGCCCAAGGTCACAGAGAGAGGGAGCAGGCCGTGAAGTCCGGGTCTGACCCGGGGCTGTCAGCCCCCAGGCCTGCGCTTTCCCCACCGCACTCCCCGCCTCTCTCCCCCAACTCCCCGCTCCCCTACCCTTCCCACCGCCTCTGCCTCCCGCGGCCGCCCCGCCCCACCTCCCCTCCCTCCCCTCCTCCCCCCTCCCTCTCGGCGGCGGCGGCGGAGCCACGTGGTGGGGCCGGGAGCCGTGGCCGCGGAGCGCCGGGCGGCTGCCCCCGCTGGCAGAGCTCTCCGCGCCGCGCCGGTGTGTGCGCTCCCCGCTCCCCGCCCCGCGCTCCCCGCCGGCCGCCCCGGGGCAGGGGTGCGCCGGGCGCCCGGCCGGGCAGACAAAGAAGGCGCGGCGGACGGACCGACCATGGACCCAGAGCGCGGGCGGCCCGCCCCGGCGCCGAGGACCCGGCGCTCGCGTCCCCGGCCCTGAGCGCCCGGCCCCGCCGCCCGGGGCGCCCAGCGGGAGGAGCGCGGAGACCGCCCGGGGCGGAGGGAGCGAGCCGCCGAGCAGACGGGCGCCGCGGCGGGCGGCCTGCGCGGCCCCGGAGCCATGGGCAAGTGCAGCGGGCGCTGCACGCTCGTCGCCTTCTGCTGCCTGCAGCTGGTGAGCGGGGTGGGCGCGGCGGGCGGGGTCCCGGGCGCGCGGGTGGGTGCGGGTCCCTGGGTGCGTGTCCGGGGAGAGTGCCCGGGCGGGGGGTGGCCCGGAGTCACGGAGCGGACGGGCGGAGCCAGCCCCTGCTGGCCGCGCTGTCTCTTTGTGTGCGCTTCTTGCCGGCGCGCCCCGGGCCGGGAGTGCGCCCGGCGCCCCGGGCTCCGCGCGCCCGGCCTCCTGTTGCGGGGTGCGCTGTGGGACTGGAGCCCCCAAGCCGGCCGGGGCTGGGGATGTGGCCGGGGCTGGTGTGTGGATCCGTGGTTACCCCTGCCGTGTGTTTGCCTAGATCACTCGTTTGTTTGCGTGGGTCTCCCTTCCCTCCGGGCTGCTGCCTCTGGTCTCCGCCCCGGGAGCGTTTCTCACAGTCTCCGCTCCTGTGCGTGTGTGTCTCTGGGCTCCTCTTGGGCATCTCTCTAGATCTCTGGATCTGGTCCATGTCCATCTGTGTGTGTGTTAGGATCCAGTTGGGATCTTAGACGCCAAGAACCCTTCTCTCCTTTGTGCTGTTTCTGCCCCCCACTCACACCCCCCTCACCCCCGGACTGAGCAGGCCTGGGAGTGGAGCCACCCCCTGGAAAGGGCCACACGGAGGTGCCAGGTGCTGGCCAGTCTGACTCACCAGGCGCTGAGCCGCCCTCCCTGCTTTGCCTGTGGACACCGTGGCATGGGTGTTCCATCCGTCATCCGCTCCACCAGAGCTTCAGGGGTGAGGGCAGGCAGAGCGGTCCTCTCTCAGGGCTGGCACGGACCGAGTTGGGCATTCAGGGGTGCCCTGGGAGGATGGGAGCATCTGAGGACGCTGTGCCCGACCCCAGCTTAGGGAACCCAGGTTCTTGTCTCCGGGGAGGCTAGTGGAGTGAGTTCAGGAGCGGAAGGGGACCGACTGCCCTTCCTTCCAGGCTCTGGCAGGTGGATTGGGGAGGTGCTTAAGGAGAGGCCGGGGTCCTCTCCGCCCCAGAGCTGAGGCCCCACAACAGGGGATTTTTAAAGCTGCGCTGCTCCTCCGGGTAGAGACGCATGGGAACCTCCATGGACGAAACAAGCCTGAGAGTTGTGCCTGCCTCAGTGACTGGTCTCCACTTTCGCCTGCTCCACGGCCCCTCCACCACAGGTGTGTGCAGTAACACAGTGAAGCTTTGCATCTGGATGGGCAGACCTCCCCCCCTTGGGGACACCAGCCCCAAACTTGCCATCCACAGCCCTGCCCTCTTGGGCAGTGGTAGCTCTGCTCCCAGCGGTGGCACGCAGGCAAGTGACTTCCCCTCACTGGCCGCCTTGGTCTGCAGATCTGTAAGTTGCTCATCCTTGAGGGTTGCAGAGGAGATTAAGTAAGAACAGGAGGAATGGAAACTCCAGAAGGGCAGGCGTGATCGGCCTTGTTCCCTGCTAAATCCCCAGCAGCTGGAACAGTGCGTGGCACTCCATTAATATTCGTAAAACAAATGAGTGAATCCGTTGTTTTGGCCACTCCTGGCGCACAGCACAAACACCCTTCTTTATCTGCTGTGAGGCACACAAAATGCCAACAAGTGCTAAAACTTTTCAGAAGGTTCCTTTTTCTGTACTCGTTCGTGTTTGCATTTTAAACTAGAGCTTTTTTATTAGCAAAGTAATGCACACATGTTGTAAGAATGAATGAATCAACAAATCATCAAACAGAGCAGAAGAGAAAGGTAAGTTTTCCTTGTATGTCCAGTTCCACACCCCAAAGATAAGTACTAATTAAGAGTTTGTCCCAGGCTCATTTTGTTGATGATAATAACAACAGTTAGCTTTGCCCTGGCCAGTTTGGCTCAGCGGATAGAGTGTCCGCCTGCGGACCAAAGGGTCCCAGGTTCGATTCCGGTCGAGGGCACACACCTTGGTGGCAGCCTCCTCCCAGGCCCGGGCCCCAGGTGGGGCCCATGCAGGAGATAACCAATAGGTGGATGTTTCTCTCTGTTTTCCCCTCTCTCTTCCACTCTCTCCAAAAGATCAATGGGAAAAATATCCTCAGGTGAGGTTTAACAAAAATAAGTATATACAAAATAAAAGATGAGGGTTGCAATGATAAATTATTTTTTAAAAATAACAATAGTTAGCTTTAGGGAGCACTTACGAGGTGATTGCAAGCACTTTTCCACCCATTAACTCATTGAATCCTCAGAATGACCCTGTAAAGTAACTTGCCCAAGTTGTGTAGGTAGGATCCAGGCTGTGCAGCCAGGCAGCTGACCAGCATCCTCTGTTGCCTTCTTACTTATAAAATAGTAGTAATTAGTTCTGGGCCTGATTAAGTCAGGGGTCCCTTGGGAAGTGCTTACTACTCTCTCTAGAGAGATGATGTGGTGAATGAAGGTAATCGCCCTGCCTCCCACTCAGCTGCCTCTAGCTCTCATGAGCTAAGTCCCGCTCTTTTTTTTTGTTTTTTTTTTTTTTAATTTTATTGATTTTCCACAGAGAGGAAGAGAGAGAGATAGTTAGAAACATCGATGAGAGAGAGTCATTGATCAGCTGCCTCTTGCACACCCCCTACTGGGGATATGCCCGCAACCAAGGTACATGCCCTTGACTGGAATCGAACCCGGGACCCTTCAGTCCCCAAGCCGACGCTCTATCCACTGAGCCAAACCGGTCTCGGCCTAAGTCCCGCTCTTCCATGTAGAGGGTTCACCAGCTCAAGCGGATCTGGAGTTACACATGACCTGGCAGGGATGCTGAGTCTCCTGTGTCTTGGCTGGCAGCTCTGGCAGCTTGTGAGGGTTACAGGAGATGGTGTGGGGAGGAGCTCGGAAGAGGGACTTGGAAATTGGTCTCTTGGCTCTGTTGCTCCGTCTGAGCTGATTGCAGAGTGGGTCCCTTCAGTTGTCACCCCAGGAGCCTCTGCTCCCTGGCAGCTTCTGTAAAGTGCTCCCAGATGCTGGAATTCACCCGCCTGGCATTATCCTAGGGAGAAGGGAGTCTGTGTGCTCATCCAGTGGAAAGGGCCAGAGAAGGAAGAGGATGATTGTTTCTCAGCTGAAAACTGTAGGAGAAGCAGATAGGGGCTCTACCATTCAGGTGCACAGTAAAGAGACAAGGCCAGGGAGTGTGATAGGTCAGACCTGGTTTTGAGCCCCAACTGTCTCTTTCTTGCTGTGACCTTAGGTAAGTTGCTTACCCTTACTGAGCCACAGTTTTTTCATCTGTTAAGTAGGGTTGTGGCAAGGATTAGGTGCTCATAATGAATTTAGCACTGTGCCAAGCACAGAATGAACCTTAGTTTTTCATTGTTATTATCTTCATGTTGTCTGTACCTTGGAATGTTCTGCAGGCGTTGTGGCCCACGCATCCAGGTGCCCCCTGCACTCTTTCTTTGTGGCAGTGGTCGGCAAACTCACTAGTCAACAGAGCCAAACATCAACAGTACAACAATTCAAATTTCTTTTGAGAGCCAAATATTTTTAACTTAAACTTAAAAAAGAATATCATGCCATTTCTTCAGAATAGACTCGCCCAGGCCTTGGTATTTTGTGGAAGAGCCACACTCAAGGGGCCCAAGAGCCGCGTGTGGCTCGCGAGCCACAGTTTGCCGACCCCTGCTTTGTGGAAAGCAACAGGTATGGGTCCCTGAGCTGAGAGGCAGGAGGCCTGGATTCAAGCCCAACTCCGTCACTGACGTCCTGTGAGCGTGGCCAAGTTTTTTCCCCACTGCAAGCCTTGGTTTTTCCATGTGTAAAATGGGAAGAACCATTAGTGTCTGTCTTTAGGGTCCTGCCAGTTCTGCCCATCGGGGACTCTGGGATGAGGTCTGGGCTGGCCTGGAGGTTTTGATGCATCACAATCTCGTTCCATTCTGTAGAATATCTATTTTTAAAACATATTTTTATTGATTTCAGAGAGGAAGGGAGAGGAGAGAGAGAGCAAAACATCAATGATGAGAGAATCGTTGATCGGCTGCCTCCTGCACACCCCCTACTAGGGATCGAGCCCGCAACCTGGGCATGTGCCCTGACCGGGAATCGAACCATGATCTCCCGGTTTGTAGTTCGATGCTCAACCCCTGAGCCATGCCAGCCGGGCATCTGTAGAATATCTTGGGTCCCTTGGCTTCCTAGCTCCTACTTGATGTATCATCTTGACATTATCAATGCTATTTACTCCCTGATTTTTATGTATCTTCCTTTTCCTGCCCCCAGCCAGACCCAGCCTTTCTTTCCACCTCCTTCCTGAAACCCTACAGGCCGCTATTCTTCCCGTTAAGAGGATGAACCGAGGGGATTTGCCCAAGGGAGTCATCATCAATTTCTTCATCATCGCCATTATTGCTCCCATTTCTGGAATCCTGTGCTAAGCACTTTATAGGCATTACCTCATTTAACCAAATGAGCTTACATATGTAAGTGCTTGGCAAAATGCCTGGCGCATGTTAAACGACTGATAAAAGTTAGCTATTTTACTGTTTTTATCCTCCCTCCTGTTATTCCACATGATGGGAGAGATGTGCGTGTCCCCTTTCTCAGAGGAGGAGGTTGAGGCTCAGAGAGGCGAGGAGGTGTGCCCGCGAGTCAGTGACAGAACCAGGATGGAGCACCCTTCTGCCTGAGCAGAGAGCCACCCTCTCGGCCCTGTGCTCTCTGCAGTTCACATGTGAGCAGTGTGCACCCTCAGACACGTCTGTTCCCGGCTTCAAGCCTCCGCTTGCTCACCTGCAGAGTGGAAACGAGAGTATTTCAATAGGATCGTGCGCATGAGGGCAGCGTGAGCCTGCGAATGCTCGGCAATCCGTCACTGCTGCGGTTGCTCTTGTCTCAGCTCGTGTGACCTTGGACACATGCATTCACTCCTCTGGAGCGTTCTCTTCCTGCCAAAGAGACTTGTCCCTACCTCTCAGAGTCGTCAAAAGGGCTTAACCAGTGCCATCTGCATAATAGGTACTCAGAAAAAAAACAACAAAACAAAGCACAGCAGCTTCATTCTCTTCCCTTCTGGAA